CAAGGTTTGTCTTTGTAGCTCGGCCTGTCTTAGAACTTGCTCTGTATACCAGACTGGCCTCAAACTCACAGAGATTTGCCTACCTCCATCTCCTGAGTGCTGGAATTAAAGGCGTGTGCCATCACTGCCCAGCTTGTACATAGCTTTTATTTAAAAATAATAATAATAAAGACTTGATTGTTTGCATTTGGCTTTATATTCTGGGAAGACAGCTAATGCGGACATTTAAACTTTTTCTTCCAAACCAAAGTAGAATTCTGAGGAGAGAGGGAGAAAAAAAAGAGAGATAGTTAATTTATTTTCTACTTTTTTGAAACTGGAAATGTTAGCAGTGAATAATTTCATTTGGAATGTTATGGATTTTACACCAAGTAATAGTAGAGCCAGTTCTATAAATGTCAGTTGAACTGAGAGCCTGGAGAGTGATAATATATGTATAAAAATATCATCATTTGTATGTCCAAATTTGCCACCCCTTAAAGACAGACGCTTCCCATGTCAAGACCATGCAAGTTGTCTACATAGACACCAGCATGACCAAAGAAGCTCCCTTTGTCTTTACTATTTGGAGGGATCTTGGTCAGTCACCCCCTCTTTCATACCTTTTATTTCCTAACTCCTAATATCCCCCAGATGGAAAAACTCTAGCCTCCACCCATATTCCTCAGACTCTGTGAGTGGCAACTTCCTTCTTGAGTGAAGCAGACTTGCCCAGGAGATGTTGCCCTCGTGTAGTTTTTCTCTTCTCTGAATTGTTGAAGAACAGAAACTTCCTCTAATATGCCACAGAGCTGATTCAGAGAAAACCCTTTTCGCATGTAATAGAAGCTATAGGGTCTTTCCACAGAAAAGAAACTGTGTGCCTGCAGTAACACCACCATATCCTTCACACACTTTCAGAAGACTGTAGGTTTTCTGATATCCGCAGACAGGGGCCCCTGGAGTGTCTATTGTGGTACTTTGTCTCCAGTGGAGAAAAGAGCTTGAAGTTTGCATTCTAAAACTTCCAAAGCCGAGGGTGAGTTCATTGGCCAGTTACCCATTTTGAATGCCCTCTTTTGCTGTCAACCAATGTGAACATAAACATAACTTCTTGAAAGTTGTAAGATTTGAACAAGTAAAGTGTGGGAAAGCTTATAAACACACAGTAAGTACTCCATATAAATTGTGGATGTTCTTCCTAAGTACATGTATATCCTTTTATTTTCATATATTAATAGATAATTAATGAACATCTTTGAACGCTTACTATATGCCAAGATGTGTTTGTCTTTTTGGCTAGAGTCAACTCCTAGGTGGATGCTAGGCTACAAGTAGGCTGTGTATCACCTGCTGTAAGATCATGGATTCCCTCACTGCATTCCCTGCCTGCACCTGTGCTATGAATGAGACTGCTCAACACAGGCGCAGTCAGTTCTTGAGGAGCAGTTTTCTATAAGACCAAAGAGCAGGAATAAGTTGCGGCCACATTGTTCTCAGATGATATTATTTTAAGAGAAGAAGGTTCCTCAGGGGCTCTGAGTACCTTCTGCATGGCTGTATTCACTGTGACGTAAACTTCTGCAGCTGAGGAGGAATGACAAGCAGCTGACAACTCCTGAAACAGAAGCAGGAGTCATAGGAGGGGGTGGCCATGAAGTCACTGGATAGAATGTGCAAGCCAGATTTCCCAGCTCTGCAGAGTACACCCCTGGACTGCCAGATCAGGCAGCTCTGCCACCCATATGTCTGCTCTGCCATGGGAACTGTGACTCAGTACATCCTCAGATATCCTCTTTGAAGCAGCCACTCTGAGCCAGAGGGGAATTTTTCTTGTCTTCACTTGCTCTAACCATGATGTCTATATTTACCCACTGTGATCTTCATTTCTTTTTTGAATACTGAATCCTGAAAAAGACTATTTTTACCTCCTGCTCTTTGAGTCTGCAAAAGTTCAGACACAAAATGCCTTCTCTAGCTCCTGGCCCAGTGGCCTTCGCTTTGTGTCCAGGTTGTGACCAACCCTTTTTATTCTCTTGGCTTCAACTTAATTATGTCAGTATCTTGATCCTCCAGCAGACTGAAATATTATTCTTTTATTTAATGCCATAAAATATGTCTAATCTCAAGTATAAATCTATCTTAATTAAGTTTTCTCCTTAGTACCGTGGTGCATAGCAGCGTGCTCATGTAGGAGCTATGCAAACAGATTGGAGAGGGGCCTTTCTAAGTGGAGTCCAGGGTTCAGTTTTAAAAAGTACCATGGTGGGTTAGGGATGTAGCACAGAGAGAGCATATTCATGGCCCTGGGTTTATTTCTGAATATGTTCATGATAGATAGATAGATAGATAGATAGATAGATAGATAGATAGATAGATAGATAGATGATATATAGATGTAGAGAAGATGATAGATATATAGAAGATAGATAGATGATAGAGATGACATATGTATATATAGATATAGATGATAGATAGATAGATGATAGATAGATAGATAGATAGATAGATAGATAGATAGATAGATAGATAGATAGATGATAGCTCTATTTGACCATTTTTGTGATGTTCCCATTCACTTGGTAGACTTACCTAAATGAGAATAAAATCTCCTGCATTATTGATCTTGGGAAAAAGTAGCAAGTACCACACCTTTTTCCAGTGAAAACATTGAGATGAAATATTTCTATTTTTCATGTAGGGATCTTGCATTGGGTTTGAAAGACATGCTTCCAAGGTTAATAGAATTAAACCGTAATAGTGCATCATGTCCATGAGTCACTGTTCCAGATGCACCTGGGTTGAAAGCCCACACATCTAGGATCCCAAATGTCCCAAGTAACTAAGCCTGGCTGATGTTAGATTCATGTTCCAAAATATGGCTTGGCGTATTTCCCACGTAGGGATGGATTCTGGCAGGAAAATCATTTATAAAACAGGAGTTTAGAAGGACGTGAATCAGGGACACACTCATAGCAGCAAAATAGGGAAGTTAAGAATATTTAACTTCCATTAAGTTGTTAGGTATGAAGTCCAGCCTACTATTAAATGAATCATCTTCCTCTAAGAAATGCTTCCAGCTCAGAACTGGAATTGCTCATTAAAATGAGGTCTAGGAGGACTTGAGAATACCGCCTAGTACAGGATGGACCAGACCCATGCTGACCTCTACTTCTGGCAGAGTCTGGGGCACGTGGAACTTGCTTGGATATGTTTTCACAGAAAATGGTGTGAAGGCAGGGGACAAAAAGCAGAGTGGCAGAAAGGATAGGGAAGATGTTTCTTCAGAAGAGAGAAAAGGAGTGCATTGCTCCATTGATCTTCTTCTCTGGAGAGCAACATGCAGTCTACCAAACCCATCTTCCAGCAGAAAATCCTAAGCTTATCCAAAGGCTGTCGGGATCTAATGTCCTCTGCAACAGATATAAGAACTCTTAATCTCTGAGCCTACTCTCCACTCCCTGAGGGTGCTGTTTTGTTGAGAATGACTTGATATTATGCCTTTTATTTCTTTGAAAATTACATTTATGTGTATGTGTGTGTCTGTGTGTGTCTATGTCTACTTGTCTGTCTGTATGCTCATGCACACACCACACACACACACACACACACACTTACACTCATTCATATGTAGACATCAGATGACACAGTAGATGGGATTAGAATACGTTCCTGCCTTCTATGTAGGATCCAGGAATTAAACTTGTGTTTACAGGCTTAGCAGCAACTATCCTTACCTGCCTGAGCTATTTCATCAGCCCAAAACTTTACATTTTTGTATTTTATGTAGGAGTGTTTCATCATCAGAACACCAACTGATGAAAGCCGGTAACTGGACTAGGAGTTACAGTTTGAAAAATCTTGCCTCTTACATGCATCAAGAGAGTCCCTGGGACCCAAAGTCTGTGTCTTGAACTCTTTCTCACAAGCTTTAGGAAATTTATGCTGGACAGGCTGGTGTGCACTTGGACCCTTGGCACTTTGGAGGCAAAGGTGGAAGAAGTGTGAGTTCAAGGCCAGGATGGACTAAAGCGCAAGACTCTAGAGATCTAGGCTACCTAGCAGGTCTGAGAGAGATGGGAAGAATAAGCAAGAAGAGGAAGGAAGGGAGGGAAGAAAAAAAATAATACAAGACAGAAGATAAAAGAGAAACCCTTACTATTCCTGGCACCCTGTCTGTTATACCTACCCAGTGATATGGTTTGTCTACACCGGCAGGAAAGAAAAGCAAGGTAGAGATGTCAGCTGTATAGTTACAGGGGCTTGTAATAGGCAAAGGGAAACATTTCATAGAAATAGTCAAAATTCCACTTCAAAGAAGTTTAAGTTTTAAGAGGGAACTCATTTGTTGTTGTTTGTTGCCAGAGGTTTTCTGTCCTGCCTGGACTTTCAGCTGTTAAGTCCCAAAGAATCATACAGAGGTATACATTAGTTATAAACTGATTGGCCCATTAGCTCAGGCTTCTTATTTACTATCTCTTATAACATCCATTAGCCCATAATTCTCGTCTGAGTTAGCCACGTGGCTCAGTACCTTTCTCCATGAGGCAGTCACGTCATGCTTTCCCTGCAGCTGGGTCATGACTGCAGACTGCAGAATCCTCTTCCCAGAATTCTCTTGTTCTCATTGCCCCGCCTCTGCTTCCTGCATGGTAGTCCCACCTATACTTCCTGCCTGGCTACCGGCCAACCAGCATTTTATTAAACAAGTACAAGAAACAAATGTTTTCAGGGTAAAACCATTGTTCCACAGCACTTGTTGTTATTACTATTATGTGAATGAGATACAGGGTGCAGTGTCTTATTCAGAGGCCTGTGACACATACATCTGTCACTACTCTGCTTCAGAGAACTCCACCTCAGGGTTACTTAGCCCCCAGCAGCTCAAGGTTGAGCTGTGTGATTCCAGACCTGATGGAGCTGCTCTTCTCTTGGGCTTAAGGACGTGATGGTGGAACTGTATGCTTCTGAGTCGGCTTTCACATCCCTGATGGTATTTGCTTTTGTGTTAACTTTTCTAGGTTTGCTGGCATGGGAAACCTGCTCAAAGTCCTAACCCGGGAAATTGAGAATTATCCACACTTTTTCCTGGATTTTGAAAGTAAGTCCTGAGCAATGTAATACAGGAATGGAAACTTGGTACTTGCTCCATAGCTTGTTCGTAGGGAAGTTATAGAGATTTCCAATGAAACTCAAGTCAAATCCAAGTGGTATCATGCATTTCTTTCTGACATTATTTCTAAGCCGTTTTCCTCCACCCATTTTGATTTCTAGAAACCTAAACAAAGGTTTGGTTTAACTGGTCCATGTTTTTTTTTAATATATATAAAGATTAGCTTTGGTAATATATACATTAAACTTTATCATGAAACTTCCTTAAGATTACACTTCCAAAGAAAAATTGCAAGCACATTAGCTGACATGGATTAGCACTAAGTACCCTTATATGTACAAGGGGAGCAGTGACGGCCACCAGAAATGAGGCTGATTATTTGTCATCAGTGCCCTCTATTTTATGTATTATTTAATTGCATAAAATTATTTTGGGATCTTTCAAATCCTGGCCTTGTTCATAAGATTATTGCCCCAGTTTTTATTGTCAGTTTGATACAGCCCAGAGTTACCTAGAAAGAGGGAACCATAATTAAACAATTAAATCAGATTAACTTGTGACTGTGTGTGGGGTGTTGTCTTGGTTGTCTACTGTAGGCAGCAGCATCCGTAGGTGACCCTAAACTGGATCAGAAAGCTAGCTGAGTTCTGTGAGCCAGGGAGATAGCCAGAGAGCAAACAAGTAGGGAGGGTTTCCCCAGAATTTCTGCTTCATTTCCTGCCTGGCTTCCTTCAATGATAGATGGTGACCCAGGAGTGTAATCCAAATAAACCCTTTCTTCGCGTGTTGCTTTTGGTCAGAGTGTTTGGCCATAGCAGCAGAAACACTAAATAGAACAGTTACGTCTCCATTACCAAAACAGTATAATCAATTTTTTTCTGGTGTAAAATGGCCTAAAAGTCATTGTTACATAAACAGAGATTCTGTGTTGTTCATTCGATTTGACTGACTAGGTTGGTATTCCCACTCTTTCCCCCTTGTGCATGTGTGCCTGCGTGTGCCTACGTGTGAATGTGTGTGCACTCATGCCTCAGTGAGACTGTAGAAGCCAACTCTCGGGAGCTGATTCTCAGTTCACACTTTGAGGAATTCTTTCTTATGATTTCTGCCTCCACCCAGCATACTGCAAACTCTACCCTGCGTACTCCAGGCTCTGCCCTGGATACTGCAGCCTCTACCCTGCATATTGCAGTTTCTACCCTGAATACTGCAGGCTCTGCCCTGCACACTACAGACTCTTAACATGCATACTCCAGGGCCCACCCAGCATACCCCAGGCTCTACCCTGCATGCCCCAGCTCACCAGCCAGCAAATCCCTTTGTCTCTGACTCCTATCTCACTATAGGAGTGCTGGGATTACAGATGCTGGCTATCCTACCCAGTTTTTTAAACATGGGTTCCAGGTCATCAGGCTTGCATGGCAGTTGCTTACCCACTGAGCCATCTCCCTGCTCCCCCACACCCCACAGGAGCTGGAACACAGCTGGACATCTCTTTTGTATTCACACCCACTGCTCTCTTTAACTTGCTAGACACTTTAATTTGTCAAGTATTTATATTAAAGAAAATGGCCAGACGCCTTCACGTATAGACGGAATTTTCTAGCACTTTTGTTAATTAAATGCTAGACGACCTTTCCAAGTTGTAGAGCGAAAGCCCTCTAAGGTGTTGCATGGCGTCTTTGACATATTTAAAACAGCTGCTCAAAAAGGAGAGCGACTCCGGAACTCATGAATTCTGATAACAAAACTCTTAATTACATTCACGGAAGGATACTTGGCTTCTGATCTAACCCCATTCCTCCCTGTTGTTATTGGTTGGCTTGACTTGGTTTCATTTACCAATAAGGATTTCAGCTCAGAACTCAAGATGAATTTGCCTGGGATTCTTCTGAAATCTCTGTCTGTCTATATGTACACATGTGCATATATTATTATTATTAAAGTAAGATCCATCAATAGCCTTAAATAAGTTGCCTGTAATCTTAACCACTTTGTTACTTTAACTTTAATCGTTCCTGCCATTTTTTTTAAGATTCATTCATTTACTATGCGCACAGTGCTCTGCCTGCATGCATGCCCGCAGGCCAAAAGAGAGCACCAGATCTCACCACAGATGGCCTTGAGTCAACATGTGGTCACCTGGAACTGAACGCAGGACTCTTGGGAGAGCAGGCAGTGCTTTAAACCTCTAAGCCATCTCTCCAGTCCCTCCCTACCATTATTATAGCACACATTTTGCATGATTGCATTCAGTGCATGAAGTGGTTAAGAATAATGTTACAGTCTGCATTCATTCACAGTTCCCCAACACCTAGGAGCCCAGAGTAATCCCATGTCCACTCAAGCTGGGAAGCCCTAAACACATGAGTCTGCCCCTGACTCCCACCTACCTGACAGAATTAGGTGGCCCCCCTTGCTGGTCTAATTGTCTTGATTTCTTGGCTTTCTACACTGCTCTGAATGTTGAGTCACTTGTCAGGACTAATCTTCAGAACCTTGAAAGAGTACAGATAAAACCTGTGAGGATTTAAAGCCGTCATCCTAGGGCTCTGAGGTTTGCCTTGGAAAGCCTCTCCCCACTGCATGGAAGGCAAGGTGGCCTGAAAGAGGGCTCAGTTCCTTTTCCCTGTTGTCACTGTGCTCTGATCTGCTCGGACATGTGCTGCGGGCATTGTTTTCCTCTTTAAGGAGAGGTCCTGGTGGCTAAAGGATACATTTATAGAAATTTGATGTCCATGATACAAAAACTCCCTTTGCAGATATAATTCTTCTTGCAGATATAATGAATAGATTATAATTTCTTCAAGATAAGAAAGCAAGCTCTTGATTTCCATGCCTGGTGGATTTCTGTTAGGACTATAAATAACTGTAATCTATAAAGAAAATATGAATTTTGAAAAAAAATGAGCAAAATTCTGCTTCTTTTTCCAAAGAGAGAATAAAAAGAAACTCCTTTCATATCCTCCAGAAGTGTAGTTTTATTTTCCCTAATTTTTAGGAGGGACCAGCTGTGCTGAGGTCACACAGGGAGTGGTTAGGGAGGGGAGATGGGGACATGAGTCCCTCCAGCTCTCTTCTGCTGCTTTGCTGTCCCCAAGTACCTGTCACAGCAGCCAGCAGCTTCTCTGAACACCCCACATCTCTCTGTCACTGACTAGGAAGAACATGCTGTATTCCTAAACTAAACACGTCTCATGAAAAAGCCAGGGGAAAAAACAACACAGCAAACACATTCATTTTATCCTAAATACCATCCCCTTCACCCCTCGCAGGCAGGTTTCTGTGTGTAGTCTTGATTGTCCTAGAACTCACTCTGTAGACCAGGCTGGCTTCAAACTCCCAGAGTCCCGCCTGCCTCTGCCTCCCAGAGTGCTGGGATTAAAGGTGTGTGCCACCACTGCCCATGGCTTAAATATCGTATTCCTTAAGGAGGTTTCTAAGAAAGACCAATGATAAGAGAGGTGGAAAGTGTGGACTTCAGGAAGATTTTTCCCTTGAATCTGTGGCTTGCAGATTAATTAAGAAAATGTATGTTGAACCTGATATGATGTTTTCCATGTCAGCCACACACAAGCAGGATTGGGGACTAAATGAGAATAAGCCTAGTGGGGAAGTGACAGATTAAAGTGGAGAAGCAGACAGATGTTTACTTGAAGACAAGCTAGGAGACATGAGAAAGGCATAACTTGCCGCCAGAGAATGGAAGGGAACAGAACTTGCATCTAGGTTCTGGAAATGGGGGGGGGGGGCTACAGGAGGGATAGGACAACACATGTTGAACAGGTGGCCCTTTAGTGAGTCTTAAAGAATGGCGAGGTTTCTACGGGCCCAGATGGGATGAGGAGTTCTCCACCAGATGGAAATAGTCAATGAGAGGTGCAGAAATTAGAATAGAAGGGGCATGTTTGAAGAACAACAAGAAGTCCAATTTAGACAGAGCACCCAAGGCCTGTTGAGAAAAAGGGGTGGGAATGTGTGGAATGGAAGGGCTGGTTTGGTAAAGCTGGCACCAAATACACTTGCCAAGCCAAGACTGGAGGCTCATAATCAGAGCTCACAGCCAAACAAAAGACCTAAGATCCTCTGGAGAATGGAGAACAAATAAGAGCTAGACAGATGAGCCGCACTTCAAGCACCACACTGAAGAGGGCGCCAGCGGGCAAGGAGTCCTAGAAAGATGCCACAGTAGAGATGCAAGGATACCCTACTAAGTTGAGATTCTGGGGCTAAAGCCTGGGTGTTGTGACCTAGCACCTAGCCGTTCGTTGAGCAGGGATTTGAGTACCATATGAGTATCAAGTGTAGAGAATGAGTTTGTGAAGGAAGAACCATGTAGGTCAAATCTAGGCAGTTAGGAGAACATAGGGAGTCCTCATATCCAGTGGGAAATAAAGAGAACAATTGAAATGAGAGATGATCGCTAAGCATTCTGGTGTCACTAGTCACCCTGAGAAAGAATATTTGGGGTTTGTTGCTTTCTATCCAGAGGCTGGGTGGTAAAGAGTTTAGGAGCAAGGGGTAGAGAGAGGAAGGAAGGCTGAGCAGCATGTAGTAACAGCTTAAATGAATTTAACACGTCTTCTTTCAATGTTGAATATTCTTTTTGAAGTCAGTGATGGGATATAATTGAACTGGGTCAAATAGATATAATTAAGCTGGGTCAAAACATAATACAAAATTAGACACATCTGTCCTTGGGTTCCTCAGTGGCAAAGATCTGATTTAAATTTCTGTTGACCTTTTCAGTGAGTGCTACAATTTATGCTCATATTTTCCCACAGATCCTTAGCATCTTTTTTTGTGTGTGATTGCATCTTTTATCCGTTTACTTTTTTTTCTTTTTTGTCTCTCTCTGTCTCTTCACTAGGCCTCTCACTCTTCTCTTTGAAAGTCAGGAGGCAGGGGTATGGTGAGGAAGGTTGATGAATGTCGTTCCAGCCAGGGATGGTTTGAAGGGCATTGCGCAAGAAGTATGGCTGGAACCC